ATCTGACCAACAATTATACTATAAATAACTCATGAAGATTCTGGAAGCAGGATGCATACATGGAAGAAAATGCACACTGTGCGCTGGGGAAAAGAAGGTGATAAAACAATTAAATTCGCACGTCTTTTAGTATAAAGATTTTGGTTAGTTTGTCAGTACTAGAGACTGAACCCAAGGCCTTCACACTGAGCTATATCCTCAGACCTTTTTTATTTTGGACAGAACCTCACTAAGCAACTAAGATGCCCAGGCTGGGCTTGAACTTTCAATTTTCCTGCCTCAGGTCTGAGTGCTGGGATTACGAGCATGCGTCATCTTGTGCTGGTTAATCTTAATCGTAACTTGACTGGATTAAGACACCTGGAGATGTCGGGAATTTAGCTCAGTGATTCCACCGCCTGCCTCACAAGCGAAAGGACTTAAATTCAATCCCCGGTACCAAAAAAAAGATACCTGGAGAGGTGACTGGATCATGGTGGCCCTGTACTCATCAATGGATTAATCCACTGATGTTCCAGGGGAGTGGAGCGTGCTGTTAGATGGTTGGGCCTAGATGGAGGTGGCAGATCAGTGTGTGGTGGCGGGGGCTGGCTCTGGAGGGTATGGCTCTCAGGGCTCTTTCCAACCTGCTCTGTTTCTAGGCTACTATGAACTAAGCAGCAGGGCTCAGCAAAACCCTCTTCTCATGATGGTTCTGGATTGTAGCCAGCTAACCTCGGACTGAGACCTCCAAAACTGTAAGCCAAATATACCTCTCCTTCCTTAACATTCTGAGCATCAGACATTTTCCCCAGCAACAGGAAAACTAATACAGAAGCTAAAATAAGAAGACTTAAAACATTTTAAAAGTAGATTAAGCACTTTTTTGCTAATATGATGACTATCAAAGAAACTGCTAAAAGTTGAAAGCAGTTGCACACGGTGAGCGAAGCATGGATTTGGTGAAGGGTTAGGTAAGCAACTGTTATTTTCACTTGTAAGATAAGACATGTCTTTTACTATTCTGTATAACTTAATTTAAAACCTAATTAAAATGAATTAAATTTTCTCACTAATGGATTAAATATATTCCTGTCAAAAATTACACCTAGTGTTAAATGTACTAGCTTGCACAAAAACAATCTGCTTAGTGTAAAATACAAAATTATTTCACAAAGAAAAAAATTTTAAGCCTTCTATTATTCAAAAACTACTTAAAATAATGTTCTCTTCAAAATATGTAAGTTCATGAATAATTAATGTATTTGCTTAAAAGTCATTAATATCATTTTGGCCTACTTTTGCATAAAATACATTTTGATTTTTCCAAAACCCGTAGAAATTAGACAGTATATGCTCTGGGCCTTTTAAACTGCTTTGCTTTCTCACTAAAAGAATCACCGATAAAAGCCTTTACTTTAATATCATGATTCAATTAAATAAAACCAATAGTTCAAAAGATATAGGAGGATATCTTTTCCTACAGATGCTTATATCTGGTAACATAACTTGACTCATTAGCTTTCTGAATTATAACCATTTGTATACTTTTGACACTGCCTAGACTGTTCTTTATCATTTTAAAACACTCTCTGCCATTTCAAAAAGAGATTAATTATATTTAAATATCTTAACTAAAATAATCTGGAAACCCAAACATATTATTAGGCTCTTTTTTTCCTGTTCCACTTAGAAGACACTTAGAAGAAGTTTTATATCTATTTATTGTGTATATAAAATAAGTGAAAAATATCCAAGAATATTACTGCATGAAGATTGCATTAATTATGTATTTTAGTTTCAGCCGTAATAGTTTATATAGCTAATGGCTAGACTGAAATCAATCATTTCTATATGGAGTAGACTAGACATGTGGAAGAGAGAGCACAGTTCAGAGGTTCTAGTAGAGATCAGTATATGGGCACAGGTCCAAAAATGAAGGCTTCAGATAGGTCAAAAAGAGTTGAGACAGGGACAATGACTTCCATTCACAAAATGGTTCCGCCAGTTCTCACTCAAAAACAGGGAGACTTAACATTTACAGCTGTCCCTGTCTGTTGGGAAAATGTGACTATGTCTCTCAGTGACTTCATAATGCACAGAAAGCCTCCAAAGCTCCCCAGCTACTACCACACCAGACTGTGACATGTAATTTCTATAAGTATGAACTCAGTGAATTAATCTTATGCAGTGAAGAAATGAATGCAGTATGAATTCAAGCCAAGACTATAGCCATACAGGGATTCCTGCTCTAACACATGGCTAGGGCTTGTGTGTATACAGCTCCATCTCATGAAAGAACACATCACTGTAATTCTTCAGGAAAGTTTCAAATACCAGCATTATTTTTGGGCATGAAACTGCAACAATGGAAGAAGCTCCATTTCATTTATGTTCTTTATTCAATTGTTAAATGAAACGTACAATGGTGTAATACTTAAAAGAGGAGCACCAATCTGGTAAAACATGTTGATTTAAAAACCTAACTCCATCACAGACTACGTCTGTATGCTACAGCAAGTTTCTTAAACTCACTAAATTTGTTTTCTTGTCTGTCAGAAGGGGAAAACACCACCTCATGGGATTCTGTCAAAAGGACTTGGGGGCCAGGGATTTAGCTCAGTGGTTTTGCCACCTGCCTTGAAAGCACAAGGACCAGAGTTCAATCCCCCATACCAAAAAAAAAAAAAAAAAAAGGATTTGGAATCATTAGTGCCAAATAGAGCTGACACCAGGCCTTAGAGCCTGACTACAGCTTTTAATTCTGGCATGGGGACTTAACTTCCTTAATCTTCAGGTTCTTCATCTATAAAATGGTGATAATGAATTTACTTGATGAGGTTGTTGTGAAAATTTAACAGTCCACATGTCTTCACAATACAGCACTAAAGACTAGGTGGATAAATGTGGATCATCTCATCTCATCAACCTTACAAAGTATGATTATGAATAAATAGTAGAGGTTTTTACTTCAGCTACTTGGGCAAAAGTAGCATCCATATTAAATTATGAAAGTCTACAGTTCAGTGTATGAATCCAACTGGAAATATTTTCACCTTAAAAGAGAAGCATCTTTTCTCTAACCAATACTATGCATTATATTAGTCAAAATTGCTTACTATATAAGTCCAGTCTTGGAAATTAAGATTCAAAGTAGATTAAACTTAAAATGAGATTAAATGAAAGGATTCTAGAGAAATTCATTACCAGAGATTACATACAAAAGATTAAAAGATAAGAGTAATTCAGGGCCCCAGTCACCTAGACAGTGCAGCTCTGTCTCCACAAAAAAATTCCCAGAAGTCAGAATGATTGGGATTGCATCTGTACATGCCCACATCCTGAGATCATAGAGGTTAGGGGTAAAGCCCTCAGGACCACATAGAGTGAGCTAAAATGGTAGTCCATGGGGAAAATAAGGGACCCAGAGATACAATGGAAAGATTAATGACAGAGACATGAACTACAATTCTAAGCTAAAGCCTTGCATTTACAACAAGATAACTTCTTTAGATGCCTAATGTGTTAGTTTCCTAAGGAAATATTTGGCTAAAATCTTTAAAATACTTTATTTCAGGAACTATGTTCAGAATGCTAATTGAGATGTGGGAAAATATCTCTCTACCTTAATAAGACTGTAGAAGACAGTTCCCAAAAAACTGAAAACAGTGATGGACATTTGTTCCTCGATAAAGGAGGGAATAAAGTGAAACAGAAGCCCATTTACATGGCCCATAAAAAACTGAATATTCATACAATGGAATGTAACTTCTTCAAACACACTGTACATGCCTCAGATTTTCAGGTGATCTTTTCCTCATCCTTAAGAAACATTTCCCACTGTTCATCAGCAGATAGCCTCCAGCAATATAGTTACATCACAGTATACAGACACTATCTTGGTGAAGATAGAAGCAAGCTACTTTCCTTAGTAACAATTATAATACTTTGACTAACAATAAAAATGTTATTACTTAGTAGTAATAATAATAATAAACATTTATGCAATGTAATGGCAATGTGATTACGTAGTAATCATGTTCTAATATTGTAGATATTGTAGATACTACTTGATAACAATAATGTATATAAATGGACTGCTATTGCACAGTGAGAAAGGAACTAACTACTGACATAAACCACAACATGAATGCATCACACTGACATTAAATTAAACAAAAGGCAAACACAACAGAATATATACTCTGATTTCTTTTATATCCAGCCCCAGAACATGCAAACTTAGAAAGTGGCTAAGTTTGGATCAGGGAGAACAGATTAGCAGGAAGAGATAAGAGGTTTCCAAGTGTGATAAAAATGTTCTATAGCTTGTTTTGGAAAGTGGTTACATAGATTGTCAAAACCCCATCAAATGAACACTGTGCATTTTGTTCCACATAAATTACATCACAAGGAAAACATGTTTTAAATGTAACTGTTCAAGGAAAAGTAATCTGCCAGAGTAAATTTTTGAATTCCAAATGAAATACACTTTAGGCAGAAGAAGTCCTTTGATAGTTAAAACATCCAGTCACAGATAAGTATTTATAGATTTATGATTTTCAGAGCTAAAACGAAGGTGACCAATCAGTTTGCTATAGTCATCCCAGTGTAGTCTTGATACCTTAGCACAGTGTAATTGTTAAATATTCTGATTTACAAGCAGCCCTAACAGTCATTTTAGCCAAAGGGAAATTTAGTACAATGAGCTCTTTCACTTTTTCATTTCAACCCACATTAACTAAGCACCTATAATACAGCGAAACACAGTTCCCTTCTTAGTGCCAGCACTTCACATTGTTTCTTTGTCTCCACACCCAAAATATAAAATAGCTAGCTGGGCTGTCCCTAAGCACAAAATTTATACCTGAGGACCAACTTAATATAGAAGAAATCAATGAGAATTTTTTCCTAAAAGAAGTATATAAATAAATAGGTTATAAAAAAGTTAAAATTTTCTGACCTATGAAAAACAAAGCACATAAAGATATTCACAAATATTAAATAAAGAAAATCTTTACCTGCTGCTCTATAAAGTATTTTAGGTTCAAAAAATATACAAGGATTTTTATCCTCTATGCATGACAGAAGAAGTCCCTTGGCCTGAAAAGGGCTTCTGGGTATAACAACCTGCAAAAACAGATTTTTTAAACACAATTTTAGTAAGATTGCATCCCATTAAAATCTCTTATAAGTGCTGATTTTAAATAATTATGACTAATTAAAAATAGTAATCCATTTATTGTAGCCTAATCACCATTTATTATAAAGTTTACATATCGTTCCTCCAAAATTCCTTTTGTTCAACAAATATTTAGAAGATATCTTCCATTCTGACAACTAAGACATTATTCTTCTTTTAGGAGCTAACTTCCCTACATAAAACTTTAAAAACTTACAAAGAGCACATGTTAAAGTCAAAACAGTGATCAATACCTGTATATACCTATAAAGTAATTTCTTCTAACTCTATACTTCTACTCACAAAATGCATACAACTTTCACCTTTGATTGTATTAATGCCAAAAACCTTCTTTCCCATGAAAAAATATGAATTTTATGATCCACACACTATATTGCCTACTTCTTGCAGAACAAAAAGGAAAGTGCGACTATTTCACACTTTGGGTGACAAAAAAGGACTCCAAGACCCTTTGTTTTGTTTTGTTCGTACTAGGGATTAAACCAAAGGTTCTAACCTACATCCACTTTTTTTAATCCTATTTCTTGAAAAAACGTCTTGATAAGTTGCCCAGACTGGCCTTGAACTTGCAGTCCTCCTGCCTCAGCCTCCCATATGAATTACAGGCATCTTCCCTTATTCAGGACCTTCTTGAGAATGAGGTTTCAGATGTGGGAGTGAAAATAACAGCAGGAAGCGCAGATGTTAATTTAGCCAAACACTCAAAGCAGATAAACTCATCTACTGGTCATAGCACTCTTAAGAGTTAGCTGTCATTATTTTTCCATTTTGGAAAGAGACTGGAGCATAAGGAGATAGCAAGAAGCTTGGCCAAGATCATATTGTTTGCTAGACCAGGGATTTTCACCCAATTCCAACTGATGCTAAAACCCAAGCACTTAATTTATTTACCATATCACTTAAGTCACACACTTGGGGTAATAATGACTATAATAATATTTATATGAAGACAAGTATTACACAAAAAGAATTCTTAAAATAAGCCAAATTTATCCCAAAGACTCAAATAAGATTCCTTGAAACAAACTGCACTAGGCTTTCAAAGTCATTTTTATGCTATTTTCATTGAAGTAATCTTATTTAAAAAATAAAAGAGCTGCACAAATCTATTTTACCTCCTGCAAATGAACTTCTGAACACATTACAACCATATCAATGTCTTTATCTTGTATTCCTGCTTTTTAGTTTTCTTTTTATCCACTTTTACATGTACTTACTTTTAGCCTTTTTATTTTATGTATACAGTATTTTCACCTGAGGTGAAAAAATAAGAAAGAGAAAGCAGAAGGAATGAAGAAAGGGAAAGAAAAGGTAGGGGACTGAGAGAACAGATCTGTTCTTAAAACACTGGGTTTATAAACATTAAATCTGCATCAATATTTAGCTCAAACACGAAAGTAACTAGAATATTACCTCAAATGTAGCTTCTGTGCCAACCACTCAACTAAGAAAAACAGAGGTCTATGACTTTGATCTCACAGAAAAGAAGGGTGAGAGGGATGACAAACACATGTCCGCAACAAATTGGTGTTTTCAGAAGCAAATACACATCTCTGAATTGCCATGTCTGTGAGTTTCTATAATGATTCCCTGGAATATTGTTCAGTAAAGCAAAACAGAAAAGATGTGAGTGTAAGATATAAAAATGCAAAATACAAAGAATGGAGTAGTACTGTGCCTTAAAGAAAAACTTGACTTTTGTAGGAAAATGGATGCACCTTGAGACCACACTGTTATGTGAAATAGATCAGACACACAACCTTATATGCGAAATGCAAATTATAAACAAAGAACAAGATAAAAGACAGTAAGAAATAAGGTGACAGCTCTTTCTCAAATGCAAAGGATATCCAAAATGGAGGGAGTGAGGAATCAAGATGGGAGATAAAGGAACTAAGGTGGTTTTGTAGTCAGGGTTTGCAAAGGCATAGATTTAATACAGAGCACATAATTTAGAGGATTATTTTATAATATTCACCCAGAAAGTAAATTGCAGAGGAGTGCAAGAGATCTGTCTGCATGCTGCAGACCCGAAGAATCCAGCTGAGGTTCAGGCCATATCTCGTGCAAATCCATATTGAGGCTCTGAACCATGAAGGCCCAAAGGCCAGTGGTGGAAGCCACAAACCTGCACTGGAGCCAGGAAGCCACACCGAGGCAAAGACAGCAGCCATCCCTGCTGACAGTGAGGACCCAAGCTCCTCCGACATGAAAACAGCCACAACAAAGCTTCTCTTCAGAAATCAGCGGCGTGCAGGTTTTCTCTCCTGTTCTCCTCTTACGTCATTCTAGCAACAATTCTCAGGTGAGTCTTCCATGCCCAGAACTACACTGACTCAGTTTAGCTGGGCATTCCATTTAAATTGGCCATTAGTTAATCTTCCACAGATGTGTGGTGTCCATGTGCCAAGTTCACACAAAGAATGTAAACATTACACACTGCAAACATGTACTAAAAAGAAGAGAAGACCTAAACTATTGTGCAAGCCACCTATGATAAGGTCATTTGTATGAGAAAGTATGGCGAGCCATTATGGTGAGCCTTGACACAGGCCTAGCCATGACTGAACTTTGAGTCACCTCGCTGGCACGGAGGTGCTCTCGCCCATAGCCACGGGCGAGTTCAGCTAGTAGCAGATGTAACCCATAATGGTCGTTATTGTTTCCCTCTGGAATGTGTGGGCGGTACCCTCGCTCCCTCGCTCCCGTGCAGCCCTCGCTCCCATGCAGCTGGAGAGTATAAAAGGACAAGGTTCTATAATAAAGCAAGCAACTGAAGAAGAAAGGTGCCTCCCGTCTCTCTGTCCTCATCCTTTCAGGTTTAGGACCTGCTGGCAGGATCCTGACGTCGCGGCTCGCGACAAGAAAGCACTACCTTACTCTTGACTGGAGGTCTAGGTAACAGCCTTCATGTAATCTGTTTCAAAAGTAAGAAAGGGAAAGCCAGGGATTTAGCTGTGATTCTGCTGCCTGCCTCACAAGTGTAGGGTCCTGAGTTCGATCCCCAGTACCAAAAAAAAAGAGTAAAGGGACTAAAAGCAAAAATCCTATCCCTTCGACTTTAAGGCAAATAATGGTCTAAACAGTAGATTTATGAAAATCATGTAAGGATTAGCTAAATGAGAAAAACCCATTAGAAAGAAACACAAAAATTTGATACAGGTGAAAGATAAGCTAATTATGCGGTCATACACTTTGAAGTCTATGAAGTTAATTATTGTCAGTGTCAAGCCAATGCTGCAGCACAAAGATCATTCTATAAAATCAGGCATGGACAGCTGATTTAAAAGAAATGCTAACCTTTCTTTCTTAAATTCATTTAAGTTCACATAAATTCAAAAAACTCCTACTTGTTTTCCTCCAGGTAAGCACACTGCTATAGTTAATATTAATAGGACCAATGAAAATGACAGTATCAAATGAAGATCAAATAAAGATGTAAATGAGAATACCTTGATTCCAGGGCAATGAGCGAAAAAAGCTTCAGGACACTGAGAATGATAAAGAGCCCCGTGACCAACACAGCCCCACGGGGACCTGATAGTGAGGTTTCCACAGTTAAAAAGATCCCCAGAACGGTAACGATACTTGGCAGCTTCATTAACAATCTGCAAGGAGAGAAGGGACATGTCACAGTGAGTCCCTCCTTCCAAATCCATTTCCTACAGACCTATTTGAAATTTTAACTACCATAAAACACTAGCTATAAAACATTAACTCGAGGCTAATAAATGTGTATAAATTGGGTGGTGGGAGTGTGGTAGCAATAATTCAATACTGCATGGATTGAACCTTTCAAAGGATCACTCAAAGTAAAATATAATGGACTTACTTGATCAAAAGCAGGGAAAATATAATCTGCAAACTGAATTTCAGCAATGGCAGTAGCACCAGTAACTGCAATTCCAATTCCAAATCCAACAATTCCTTGTTCACACAGTGGGGTATTGAAAACTCTGTCTTTCCCTTTAAAAAGAAAGAAAGCAAATTTAATATGGCAAATGAGAGCACTGTAATGTACAAAACATCTGAAAATTTGGTAAATTAATAATGATGGGAAAGCCGGGCATGGTGGTTCACACCTGTGATCCCAGCACCTGGGAGGCTGAGGCAGGCGGATCACTGCAAGTTCAAGGGCAGCCTGAACTTCATAGTGAGACCCTGTCTCAAAAACAAAAACAAACAAACAGAAAAATAACGGTGGGGAGGGGAAATATAGAACAGTTAATAGACAATAAGTAGTAATGATGGTTGTTAAATGTAATCAATAATTATATTAATAGTAAATAATCACTATGTTCCAATTAAAACTGTCATGTTGGAATTAAAGCAAAATCCAAGTACTTAAAAGAAAACATCATGCACAAGACTTTGGATTCAACCAGCAGTAAGAAAGAGAGGGAGGGAGGGAGAGAGTGAGGTAGGGGGTGGGTGGTCAGAATGAATGAAAATGAAACATAGAAAAACTACACAATACAAGTAACCAAAAGAGAGCTGATGTCGCTTTACTAGCAGCAAGCAAAGCAGCCTTTAAGGGAAAAGGCCTTGCCACAAAAAAAAAAGGCAAAATTCATACTTTTGAGAGAATTTAATTCACAAGACGGACAAAAAAATCCTAAATTTAAACTCATCTAACAGTGGACTCCAAATAAATGAGAGAAACTAATACAACCAAAAAGACAAATGGACAAATCCACTGAGAGAATTTTCTGACATGCTAGTTTTAACTGTCAGAAAAAGTGAAGGATAAAAATATGAAAGATTAAAACCGGGCTTGGTGGTGCACGCCTGTAATCCCAGCACTCGGGGGGGGTGGGCTGAGGCAGGAGGATCACCGTGAGTTTGAGACCAGCCTGGACTACGTAGTGAGTTCCAGGTCAATCTCAACTACATAGTGAGACACTATCTCAACGCCCCCCCAAAAAAACCCCCCAAAAAACAACAACAAAAATAAATAAATAAATAAAATATGAAACATTAGAGCATGATTAACAAACATGACCTAATTGCCATACACAGGACATTGCACTCAGCAGCTCAGAAGTCAATTATTATGCAGTTAATAGATAATGCTGACATTAATGGACCATATACTGGGCTATAAATCCAATCTCAACAACTTTTAAAGAATCAAACTCTATTTTTTATTAGATTTTTGTGGTACATGTTTCCATTCCTTGCAGGAAATTGGTGCATGTACATAACACATCTTGCTTCTTTTTTTCAGCTCCTTTCTCTCCCTTCCTTCAACTTCCTTCATTTCTTCATTCCCTTTACCATTTGAGAAAGATCTTTCACCCTAATTCCTATTTTGCTCTTTATTTATAATTTGCATCTCTCATATAAGAGATGCAAATATTTAAGATTGTGCCTAAATATGCAATATTTAAGCTGTGTTTGATTTATTTCTCTTAACGTTATAGGTTCAAGGAGCATCTGTTTTTCTACAAGTGACTCAAGTTTACCTTTCTATGGCAGAGTAGTACTCCACTATGTGTAAAGACCACATTTTCTTTATCTATTCATCTTACAAAGTATATTCTCTGACCATGGCAGAATGAGGATTAAAATCAGCTACAAAAAGATAATTAGAAATCCTCTGTGCTATAATGTGTTAAAAATACAGATCTAAACAATAACACATGACCCAAAGAAAAAATTTTAATGAAAATTAAAAAGCTATATATCCCAACTTATGATTCTAAAGGTAACAACAGAATTGTCTCTTCCAGACTAACCCTCACATATTTAATGATTATCAATTCTGGGCAAATTACAGCAACTACTTAAAGACATAGGAAGGCCAAAATTAAGTATAAATGAAGAGAGACTTGATCATTGATAGAAGGGCCACAGGGTGAATGAGCAGGGCATTTCTAAGGCTTGTCTGAAAGGAGTTCCCAGTTATGTGTGTTGGAAAAGATGAAAATACGCACTGATAGTCTCAGTTTTAATGGACTGTCTGAGAACTGTGTCTGAGACTGCCAGTGACTGGATACTGGGAAGTAAATCCTTCACAGACAGGCACCACATGGGGACATCGCAAAGTCTGTACAGAAAGCGCTTTAACACTCGCTGACCTTAACACCTACAGGACACTCCAAAACGAGAAAAATAACCTGGAAGGGCTGAGAAGAAATTTCAGCTCTTATCATGTCTACCAAAATAAGACACAGAATTTAGAGCCTGAGATTCTTTAAATTAGAGGAGTTTGATAAAGCCTTCAAGCTTTCCATTCAAAACAACTTCACTTACATTACCACCCGATTCTCACATCACAATCTATAGTCTCTCAGTTAATAGGTGCATTTTATGACACAGCTTAAGTTCACGGATCTGACTGGCAGCAAAAAAAAAAGGACATGAGCTGGCCATGTAACCACATGTTTTGGGACAATTCTGATAATTATGCTTTATTTGTATAAGCCAGGGATATCAATACTTCTTGGTATATACAGTTTACTTGCAACTCAATCATTCCCTTTGAATCTGAACTATAAATAGGTCAGGTGCTGGGAAATACAGACTAGACACATCCTATACCTTTCAACTCTAAATGAAGCTACAAAAACTTAAAGCATGATTCATTCCCATCATGATCCATGACCACCTGCTTAAAGTGTGACCTGTTTTCCTCAACAGTTCCCTACTTGACTCCAAATAAGCTTGATATTTTTTTTAAATTCCATTTAACTAAGAACAATTTAGTGGTTGAACATAAATTCCAGCTTCTTCCACTGGGATCACATCCCTGAGATATCGGAGCTATCTTCACCAAACATGCAGAATTATTTCTTCCTTAGTGCTTCAAGTTCATAGAATTCAGATTTTTTTTTCAACTTGGAAAGCAAGTATATCCTTTTTGGCAACTAAAAGGCAAAAAAACTTGATTTTTCTTAGAACTCTCTTACTACAAGGAACAGTTTAACAAATCCTTTTGACACGTTTAATGATGTAACAGAAGGTGCCTCAGCACGAACTATATGTTCAAAATCTGTTCCTGTTTTTTCTCAAATATTGATTGAGGGTTAGAACACTTATAGTGATTCAGGGATGATGGAGGAGATGAAAGAGGATCTCTAAATGACATAAGGAAAATATTATAATTCTCAACCTGTTAGATGTCAGATACACCAAGTTCATGTTCTCTAAGATAGAAGAATCAATGCTAGGAACAATGGAGGTTGCCCCCACAAGAGTTCCCCAGTGGGGAGCCGAGAACTTCATTTTTCAGGAAAAGTTTTATAAAGCACAACCACGTGGATACAATGTAGGTTAAAGCTATGATCAGCCAATAAGTTCACAAATATAGTCACTAAGGTATCCAATGGGGGAACAAACATGTAACAATTGTACATGAAAGAACAAAACGTTTTTCTAGGAAATTATGGGTCAAGAGGTCTTAGTCACCCATTGGGGTGACTGGTGTCTGTCTAGCCTTCACTAGTCCAGGTGTTATCACTTATCTTGTCCTTTGGAGAAGTATGTAGGCCTGGTCATTCATCTTTATTTTGAGGAACAGCCTCCAACAGATGGTCTCTAGCCACGGTTGTAATGTGTTTTTATCTTTTGCACTAACTCTCTTGAGGGTCTAGCTCTATCTGACTGCCTACAATATTTTTATTTAACTTAGCTGTCTATTATTGTAAGACACACAATATTGATGACAATATCGATGTTATAAAGCAACTAACTCAATGTAAAGCTCATGTACAACATATCCTGGTAGATGAAGTGATCAATAGAATGACTGTACTATGAGGCAAGGGAGACCACAACTTAGATGTCATCTCCACAAGGTACTAAATTCTCTAAAGCTCCACTTAACAGAAGAATCGCGATGCTGAAAAAACTAAGACAACTTATACATTTATTTAGCAAGTGTTTATAACATACTCTATTAGTACTTTTCTGCATTTTAGATAACAGAGACACAAACAGAACAAAACAAATTTGTGTCCAATGAAGTTTACATTCTAGTCAAGAGAAATCATCAAGAAAAACAAAATAAAGGAGTACAGTATACAATGTGGTGATGACAGACAGTAAGTGCTATGGAGAAGAGCAAAGCAATGAGTAAGGGATGGGGAGCTGGAGGTGGACTGGGATTATGCTCTGATTTTAAAGAGGGAGATCACAGATCAGGAAGGCCCTACTGAATGAGATATTTAAGAAAAAGAGTTGGAAAAAAATGGGACATTGTACCATCCATATAGCCAAGAGAATAAATGTCTGAGCAGAGCAGCCAGCAAGGAAAACCCTTGGTAAAAGCATCATTAGCTCACCAGACAAAAGGTAAGAATAAGAGAAGCAGTGCAAAGGGAGAAAGTGAATGAGTATGGTAAAAGGACTCAGCTGTGACAGGCAGGGGTCTTGTAAGCCATTCTAAATACTGACTTTTACAATGAGAATAAGTTAGGAAGCAGGGGCATGAGAGAAACAGGAAGTAACTGAACAAAGTTATGCCATTCTCTAACTTGAATTTCAACAGGATCCCTTAGGCTGCTATTTTGTAAATATCCTGGAACTAGCAAGGGAGGACAGGCAAGACTAGCTACAGCATTCCTGGTAAGAGATGATGTATAGTATCAGAGAGAGTGGAGAGGTGTGAAGCTCTGGACATATTCTAAAAATGGAGCCAAAACGACCTGCTGATAAAATAAACAACTCAAAAAATGCAAAGGATGATTCAAAGGCTTTTGGCTTGAGTTACTCAAATGACAGAGTTGCCAGTAAATGTGAAACATTAAAAACTATTTAGGATCACATTGGAATGAGATTCAGAAGTGCAATTTTCAAGATGATTATTTTGCAATGCCTTCAGATGTTCAGGCAGACCTATGGATTACACTGTTGCATATATGAGTTGAAAGTCTTTAGCATAAAGATGGTATTTAGTGGCACACATGGGGTAAGATTACTTAGTAAGTTTAAATGTGGACATATCAAGAACAGCTTTATGGTAT